GCCTCACCCCCCCCCCCAAAAAGAGCACCACCCACCCGCGATGGCCGCCACGAAGATGAGCTGGAAGAAGTGGCCGCCGGTCAGCTGCTCAAAGCGCCGCACCTTGATGGCCCGCCCCACCAGCACAGACACCTGCTCCCTGTACGTCGCCCCCTCCCGTCGCTCGCCGTCCCCGTCGGCGGCCTGCTGCTTGTGACCCTGCACCTTCCCGTGGCTGTCGGCCCCGTCGACCGCAAGCGCGCCGCCAAACCCGGGGCCCTCGTGGGACGCCTCGCTGAACGGCGAGGGGCCCGCGGCGGAGCGGCTGGCGGGGAGCGCGGCGCGGCGCTTGGGGTCGTCGGAGCGGCCCTCGGCGGCGGCGCAGAGCTCGCGGACAGCGGCTTCCCCGGAGCTTCCCGAGAGGAGGGTGCCGGCCTCGCCCATCGAGACATCCAGGACAAAATCTGAGGTGTGGTATATGTGCGCGGGGGGGGGGGGGCTATGAGCAACCAACCAAGACAAAGTTGACGACACCGCTTGCTGACAAGGTGCAAACCTGCCCCCACAACTCCTCGTTAAGGGTCCCTGGCCGGGTCAGCACTTGGATGGACGCGTGGGGCCCTGCAAAGCACACCCGCAAGCACACCCGCCGGCACCCCCAAAACGATTGCACGCAACGCGCGTCGCAAACGGCACCCCCAACCAGCCCCTCGAGAGGAGGCGAGCGCACCCATAGTGAACGTCCCGAAACAGACGTCTCGACCAGTCAACCCCCCCCCCCCCCCCCCCCAAAAGTGCACGCACCCGCGATGGACGTCCCAAACGGCACCCTGAGGCCGAAGCGCTCAAACCAGGGCACCACGTCCTGGGCCGGCCCGCTGTACATGAGGTGGCCCTCCGCCAGCAGCATCAGGGAGTCCTGGGAGGGCGCCAACAGAGAAATGATGACGGTCAAAGATTTGACCGAAGGGGTTGGAGGTCAGGGCCGGTGCGTGGTGGCCCCCTCATGCGTCTTTCCCCGCGGGCACGGGGCTGGTGCGCACAGAACAACCCATGCTCGGGCCTGGTCCACCTAAGTGTTTCGAGTTCGCTCGTCAATGCACCCGCCTAGCCACTTCCCCGCAACCCTCCACGACACAAACCCCCCCATCAGCCCACAAAGACGACACCCATCACCCCTCCCCTACTGGACACCCCGGCGCACCAGCTTTCCGTACAGGCGGCTGCTGGGCTGGTGTATGGTGGACACGATCGCGCGGCCGTCGGAGGCAAGGTCCTGGGGTGGTGGTGGTGGTTGGGGATGGTGGGTGGTGGGTGGTGGGTGCGGATGCTTTGCGACGGCTTCCGAGGAGTGGTGGGTGGTGGCGTTGCAGTGGTGATGGTCAGTGGCCCAACAATGCGCTGTAAAAAAACCGCCCCCCTAGCACATTGCTTGAAGCTCCTCTTGTGTCCCCCCCCCGTGCAGACCCACTCACAAACCAACTCTTCACCACCCACAAAACTCTTGATTTGGTCGCCATACCCCACCCCCCACCTGCAGCAGGTTTATGAGGTGCAGGGCGCTGGTGGAGTCGAGGCCGCTGGTGGGCTCGTCCAGCATCAGGATGGCGGGGTTGATCAGCAGCTCGTTGCCTGGAGCACAAAGAGAGGGCAATTTCAATGTTGATCAAGTGGTGATAATTGGTCAAAGAGAGGCCTGACTGCGGCAACTTTGCAAGAAGGGGAAGGAACATCAATATATGTTGATTTGCTGAGCGCAGTCAGATGTGTCGGCAAACATGGCATGTATGGAGACGAGGCGCCTCAGGAGGCACAGATGAGTGTGCCAGCGTGAATGCAGCAACATCAATCAGCCCGCTGCGCAAATCGCCAGCGCACACGTCCCGGCAGCGGCGCGACGGGCCGCAAGTGCCGAGCCGGGTACAGCACCGCCTTGCCGCCTCACCGATGGACACGCGCTTGCGCTCGCCGCCGCTGATGCCGCGCCGCAGGAAGCCGCCGATGATGGTGCCCTTGCTCTTGCGCACCCCCAGCACGTCAATGACGGCCTCCACGCGCCCCTCCTTCTCCTCCCTGGAGGCGCCGAATTCGATGATTACGAGGGCAGCAGGAATGTCCTTGTCATGCGCAACTAGTAGAAAACTCCCAGTTAATACCAATAGCAAAAGGGGCTTGCCTTCAGGCTGGAGAGCACAGCCTGAGCCAGCCCCCCCGGGACGCACGCAACCAAACGCCGCCGCCGCTGCCTCGAACACATCACCCAACAAAACCCGGGCGGGCGGCCAGCACAGCAAGACCGGCGGGGGCGCAGGCAGCTGCACGGTCAAGCCCGCTCGCGTGTGCCACCCTCGTGTGTGCGCACCTGCTCATGTCCCTAGGCAGCCTGAGCAGAGCCGCGTAGCGCAGGGTCTCCATGACGGTCAGGTCCTCGTAGAGCACGTCATCCTATGAGTATTATTACGGGGTTGAAAGAGTGATGACTCACACCAATTCAAGCGTTGTCAGATCAGTACTTGATCAGCGCGGCTCTCAAGAGTGAAGCGTGGTATTCAACCCCCGAGAGGCAGGGGAAGGATGACGACTTACCGCAGCGCTGGAAGCAAACTTGTCTGGGTGCAGCGCAGGGGTGCGAAACAGCCTGGTTCCCGCATTACAGTGCGTGTGCCCACCTGCAGGACGAACCCGATGCGCCGGCGCGTGGCCTTGGTGTAGGCGCGGCCGTTGACCGTGACTGGCGGCGGGGGGGGGGGGCGAATGCGATGCGCAGCGATCAGTGCGCAGGGCAAGTGGCCGGTGAGAGGAAAAGGCTGGCATGCCCACCGCTCATCAGACGGCGTTTGGATGGCAAGGAGGGCTACAAAGGACGACGAACGATGCTGTCACAAGCTGGACGATCTCCAGAATAGGCCCCCCCCCCAATCGACCAGACTCGATCAGTCATCCACATCCTCCTGCATCACACGGGCGGCCCTGCGAACCCGACATTAGCGGGGTCAAGGGGCGGCGGCGGCGCCCCGCACTCACGCGATCCTGTGACTCGCAGCGCCTTGGCGGGGCGGCCCCCGAGGACCGACAGCAGCGTGGTCTTGCCGCTGCCAGAGGGGCCCATCAGCGCCAACACCTCCCCTGGCCGCACGGCGCCTGCGAGAGCGGGTCCAGCAGGAGAGTGGCTTGGTGAGCGCCGCGTGAGACGACTGCTGGCGATCGGTTTAGTTGAGGGGGCTGGCAGGGCACCGAGAAGGAACAGGGAGGCGAGACAGGCTGGTAGAAGCGCTGGCGGTGATTGATGGGGGGGGGCAGTCTGAAGACCGCAGTGCCAGACGTGGCGATGCTTGACCTCGAGCTGCGGTGAGCGCCGGGCTGCTGCAGACCACCACCGTTGACTGCCGTGCGCGGCTGCCGTTGACCGTTTGAGATGCAGCAGCGTGGTTGCCTGCGCTGCTGGGCCTGCAGCCCCCAACTGCACCGGCATGGCACCTATCACGCCGCCACAACCCCTTCTGCTCTTCACATGCCAATCGCCCCGCCACACGCGGGGGCAGGGTGTCCCAGCGCACGTCCAGACCAACCGAACACACCCTGCTGCCGTGCGCACACAAACACAAACACGCACACGTCTGCACACATGCACTCACGCACATACATACACACACGCCTGTGGCTTCCGTCCATCTCCCCGCCTGCGCTGACATCCGCACACAGCAAGCATACGTCAGCACAGTTTTACGCGCATATGCAGCCACGCCCCCACTCCCCACCCACCCGTGAGCCCGAACATAATCTGCCGCTCGTCCTTCCGCAGCCCCTCCTTTGGATGCTGAATGCGCCCCGCCAGCCGCTGCCCGGCGCTCGGCTTGGAAAACCCCAGCGGCACATACCCCTTCACGTCGTAGAACTGCAGCGTCAGCTGCCGGCCGGGCACGATCGGCGCCAGCAGCGGCCGCCGCGCGGCGCCGGCGGCGCCGTCCTTCCTCGGCGTCGCGGTTCCCGAGGATGACGCGCGGTGCTCGCCGGACTCCAGGTCCAAGACGACATCCTCGCTGTCTTCGCCGGCGGCCGCGCCGCGGCGCAACGGCGGGACGGCGGGGCCGCGGCCGGGGCCGGCGGAGACGCCGGGGCCGGGGTTGGCGGGGGAGGGGAACTCGTTGATGAGGTCATCTCGGAGGCCTGTGGGTTGTGATTGTGGTGGGATGACAACTTAATGAGGAGAGCGGAGCGAGAGCGACAGGAGGACCTGTGAAGCTCGCCAGCAGGGATGGCTGGACTTGGATGCAGGGAGGGGCGGGGCACTGTGTGTGCAGCTATGCTGCGATGGAGCCGTTGTGCACAAGGCCCTGTTTACGCGACGCAAACCCCCGTCACCCTGCGCGTCCAGGGGCGGGGGGCTCGCGTGATTCTTGCTGTGGTGAAGCGTCCGCCCTTCGGCTGTCTGGCGGCTATCTGGTGGCAAACGCTGCGAGCGGCGCGGCGCGTCCAGGTCGGGGGCTCACTTCCGACGGACATGATGCCCAGGAGCTCCCCAGATGCGCGGCGGAACTCACGCAACCTGGAGTAGCAGACAAGCAGATGAGCGGCAATGGGGGGGGGGGAAACGGTTTGGAGCGCGGCACAAGCATCCCCGAAGGGAGCGTTGTGGAGCTGCGACAACGTGTGTATGTACATGTGCAACCCGACGCAGATGTGCGTGGCCAGGGGTGGCCGCAGCGGCCGCAGCGGCCACCACCCAAGCAGTGGACCGACCGCACGCCGCAGCCACAATCGGCGACGGCGGCAACATTCCGATTGCGGTCAACCTCCATCACCCTACTTGGAAACCACCTTCGCCGCACCTGTTGTGCCGGTCTGCTGCCTGGCTCTCCAGCTCGCAGCGCGCGGAGTGCGCGGCTGCAGCATCCTCGGCAGCACGCACAGCAGCGATGTCAGAGCTCGTTGGCGAGCCCGGTGCGGGCCCTGTGCGCCGCATATGGATGCAGGGATCTCGCGAGCTGTGTGAAAGCTTTGTGATGACGATCCTATTCGTTTGTGTCTTGGTCTGCGACGGCTGGTGCGCGGACGATCGACGGATGTTTGGAAGGCGTTGCCGAGCTCACGAATCAAGGAGCGTATTGAATCGAACCGATCTGTGGCTTCCACTTGTCGCTTCCCAGCAGGTCCGAGATGACAAGCACCTGCCAAGCGGCGCGTCAACCCACGTCGGAAGCAAGCACGAGCTCCCTAGACGGTCCTGAACAGCACGCAAAATCGCATGTCTGGCTTCAATTTTTATTTTTGGCACGCAGCTGCCCACATGCCCTTGCTGTCACCTGCTGACCATGTCGTGTCAGCATGATGAAGGCAATTTACAAAGCGACAGCCTCGACCACAGGCCCAAAGGCATGGGCCCAAAAGGGGAACGGCAGCCAGATGCAGCGGGGCACATGCAGCACACAAACTCGCCTGCAATCCTTCGTCTTCAGCCGTCGCGCAGCCTTGCTTGCTGGGAGCCTACCCGGGCGTGGGCCGCAAGCAATTACGCAGCTGCGCACGCTAGCACGTGGCCCGATGTACGCAGCATGCAAGGCGATGCGCATGCAAAGCATGCCGCCCAGCAGGCGCCGCAGCGCGTCGCCAGGACCACTGGCTGCGGGCAAACGCCCGCCGCCTGCAGTAGTGGTTGGCGTCGCACGCAGGCGCCTCCAGTGCAGCGCCGCGGCGGGCGTGCGGCGCCGCTGCCGGCGGGGCCGGCGCCACCCCTCCTCGTCTCGCGCTGCTCACCGGATGGGCCCCCACCTTTAGCTGCAGCGGCGTCCACCCCATCAGTACCGCCGGTCCTGCGGGGCACAGCAGGAGGAAACCCAGGGTCGCCGCGGCATTGAGAGGCGGCGGGGTGGGTGGGAGGAGCGAGGGGGCGCACTGCGCGGCGAGCACCATGGCGCTGAACCAGGGGCAAACAGGAAGCGGGTGGGAAGGTGATCAGCGACCGCACGGCAGGGGACCTGCCACGCGGCCAACCGCTACGCAACCACCACAGGTCGCCGCAACGCCTCGCCGCCCGGCCGCCAACACCCACATCCGTCGCGGCCCCCCGCACCCGCCGCTCGTAGTCGCGCCGCTCGTAGTCGCGCCGCTCGTAGTCGCGGCCCCCCCTCTCCCGCTCGTGATAGTCCCGCCCGCGGTCGCCGCCCCGCCCATCATAGTAATCGCGGCCGCCGCCCCTGCCGTCGTAATACCTGTCGCGCTCGTGATAATCCCGCCGCCGCCCCGGCGAACGCGACCGCTCCCGCCGCCGCTCGTCGCCGCGCTCCCGCTCGCCGCCGCGCTCACGCTCGCGCTCGCGGTCGCGGTCGCCGCGGCTGCCCGGACGCTCCCCGGCCTCGTCGCCGC